ATCATTTACTGTTAAATGTAGTTGTTCGCTTCTGTTGTTGCTGTACATCATGTTTGTCTCTCTGTCTCTCTCTGTCTCTCTCTTTCTCTCTCTCTTCTCTCCCCAACTAGGTCAAGGCAGATGACCACCCACCTAGGGAGCCGAAGAGGGTTCTGTCCGAGGTTTCTTGCCCGCTGTAAAAGGCAGTTTTTTCCTTGCCCCCGTCGCCAAGTGCTTGCTCATGGTTGGTACTGTTGAGGGTCTCTGTTAAATGTTATTATGAGTTCGGTCTGACCTGTCTTATTTTGAAAAGTGTCCTGGACGATAACTTTTATGAATTGGGCGCTATACCAAATAAAATTGAATTGAATTGAATTGAATTGAATTGTTAAGTTGTCACCTTTCCACTATGAATGGTAAAATTACACGAAGCTAGGTGTAGAGCTCATAAGACAATCAAAATGTTTTTGTATAACTAAATCAGAAACATTTCCACATCATGAAAATTGAAAAATATTTACACATTGGAAACATTTTTTTAGTCTAAATTGAAAGAAGAATATCACACATTATTATTATTCTATACATTTGCATATTACTCTGCACTTATCTGTGTTTTGCACATCCGGTCTGGCATTTCATTATCTCAGTATCTGTTCTCTGTGCAACGACAATAAAGTTTGTGTTTGTTGATGAAGCATTATCTCGGGTTACAAGAGGTGAAGTCAGAGGAGTAGACTAATCAGTGTGCTGATTCTACTTTTGATTGAGCGCTGGGTGACTAACGCATGGCTAACAGCGATTCTACTGATTTTAGGCTGTACTGTTGTCAGGAGACACAAACAGCAGGAGATTCATCGGTGTGCAGGCTTTTCTGTTCTATCTCTGCTGAAACTGATAAATTAGGTGGATGCCGGTTCTCTAGCTGTGTGGGGTATTTTTAGAATGTGCATAACGAAGACAGCTCTGCATGCAAATAGGTTTTTCAACCTAGTGTTGTTACTCTTCAGATTCAAACTGACCAGGCATAATCTTATACCTGAGATTGATTTAGAGCGAAATTTGTGTTTTTTGGCCAACTTTATAAAGGTTTTGCTGAAGTCGTCAGACAGTGAAATGTGCATTGTCCTGTCAAATCACGTTGTAAACTCTGTTTTTAAAAAGGTGCTGTATAAATTAAGATAATATTGTAATTTTGCTTTTTCTAAGAAGCAGAAGAAACAGCTAACCTGGCTCTCTCCAGTCCATATGCCACGCTAAGATAAGCTAAGCTCCAACTTCATACTTAATGCACAGACATTAGAATAACATCGACCTTCTAATTTCCCTCTCAGAGAGAAAGACCGTTTTAGAAAGCCTATTTCCCAAAATGCTGAACTAATCCTTTAGGAAAGTGGATAGCTGGGAACTTGGCCTGACAACAGGAATCCAAAATGGTGACTCACTGAGATTAACAAGGTCAGCAGGTGTGGTCAAACTACACCTGCAAACATGGACACACATAGATACACACACATAGATACACGCACACACACACAAATACCCCTGTACAGAACAATGCTCAGAAATATGCACACTTAAATCCACTTAAATCCATCCAAACTGGCAAAAGCTAACATCAGGCTGAAATAAACATTCCCTCACCAGCTGTATGCACACACAACAAACACACAGACGCACACGTATCCTGGGTAAAAGCCAACATCGCGATCAGCTGGGCCACTCTAACACATAACCAGGCTCAGCGGCAGATGGTTCACAGGAACCGGGCAAATACAATTTTGGAGATAAGCTGGTGTGGCTGAGTATCAACACACACTGTGTCCAACTGTGTCCATTAACGTGGCTGACCCTCCACACTAAAGGAACACTCACAAGTATGTACTGTATCATCATTTTAGTTGTGCTCATTCAAAACCTAAAATAGATACATACTACGACACCCTCACCATCATAACAGCAAAAGGGAAACAGAAGAGGATGGATAGTGAAATAAAATAAAAATCCCCCAAAAGAAAACCAAACTTAAAGAAACCTTAGCTCATCTACAAAAACAAAACAAGAACACAAAAGAGAAAGGGGTCAACTCACGCTTCAGAGTGGGCAATGTCATCCAAAGTGGCTGAGGCAGACAGATATCTGAAGACACAACAGCAGGATAATGACACAGGGGAAGAGACACATACTCACAATACAGTACAGTAGAGTTACACTTCCTACAGATTTCTCTTTTCCAACTTCTACACCAACTCCAAACGTTTGTTTTGGATTGGACTGGACTGGACTTGAAGGGTTTTAGTGGATGTGCAGTTGGATTTTTAAAGGTTTTTGACAATTAAACAGAAACAGTTGGTGATGGTTTTTCCTTCACGAGGGGTGTTCAGGATAAATGACATAACACAATGTAATCACAAATTATCATGTGATATTCTGTCCAGCTTTCATCAGAGAAATCTGCTACAGATAATGTCAAAGGGAAGAACAAATGTAATTAAATCTTCAAGGAAAGAAAATCAATAAGAAATTAGATTTTATTCTGCAGAATACTGAATATCAGCCACACAAAATAAGGGATGGTCAAAGGGATGAGAAATTGTTTACACTGAATAATTTGTTTAATAGTTTACGAAGATCTATTTTCATTATTTATGACGACATAAAAACTATACTAAAATGCAAAGTGTGTGGAATCACCCATCCATATCTCTTAACTGCCTGTGTAACTGTGTCTGCTATGATGGAGTCAGATTTTTCTCCTTTGCGGTATAAAATACTTTAAAAAAGGTCCAGTGTGGGATTTAGTGGCATCTAGCAGTGGTCGGTTTGTCCATTCTGGGCCACTGTAGAAACATGGCAGTTCAACGTGGCGGCCTCCATGGAAGGCGACCCACAGCGTCTGTAGATATAAAAGGCTCATTCTAAAAAGGTAACTAAAATATTAATCTTATTTTCAGGTGATTATACAGAAATTACATATAGTTATGCATATTATAGTTCATTTATTTGCAGGTAAATCCTCCTAAATGTTACACACTGGACCTTTAATTCAGCTCTTCTCAAAGGTGCTCTAAACACAAACACTTCCTGTTCAGCGTGTGAAATATATCTTCTCAGCTCTCTAGAACTTCTCTACGTCACATTTTCTTACTGTAACAACAACAGTAGTTCCTCCTTCAACAGTAGAGGCTGAATTGAGGAAGAAAATAACTAAACTAGGGTGACATTGTATAAAGTAAACTTCTGTCAAACTGTTATATTGTAGTTAAAGAATTTAGTTCCAGACCATCTTGTTCCACGACTTTACCGTTATTAACTACCCCCAGGGATCAAGGTCCCAAGAGGTCGCCCAATCAACCTGAGGGCATTGCAAGATGATTAATAGAAAAAGGAAAGAAGAAATAACTGATTTCCATCATACAAAGCTTTTGTGTGGAAAACTTTGCCTTTTTTTCATGTCAATTGAATTTTACTGCTTCAGGATTCAAAACATTAATCCAAGGGTAAAAAACAAACAGAGGTAGCTGATGATAAGAGGTCATATGTAAGCAATGCTTCGTTTTAAGGGGTCACAACACAAGAAAGTTGGAACCACTCATCTAAAATATGTTACACGGTAATGCTTAGCTGATCGACTGATGAAAACTACATTACAGTGTTATACATAACATTTTAGCAAAATGACACTACATTTATTGACGTAAAATCTGTCAATATCTACGAAGGAAACTATTTTGTGCTGTTGCACCTACTGCTGTCACTCTGCAGGTGGTACACAACTACAGAGAAGCAGACGAGGATAAATGCTCCGATAAAAACAGCTGATCACAAGCTAAACTCCAGTATTTCCTGATAGCAGGCACTGGTTTCCTGTTTACTGCTTAAAACTGTCATCAGTTAATTGTATGTAAAATCTACAGGAAGCTGCAAGGGTAAAATGTCACAAAAGCACACCGTTAGTGGAAAAGTTGAAAGAGTTGATGCTTTAGTGTGGAAAACAGTCCTATGTTAACTCTCAAACACCAAACCGGTTAATAGATCAAACACCAGATAGCACAACCTGTTCATGATTAGAGACAAAGCAAGCTTGAACACATACTTTCAAAAAGCACACACAGACAGAGTCAGGCCTGTACGGTATCTACGAGAGGGGAAGTGTGTTTGTGCTGACTGCTCGGTAAAACAATAGCAGAGCAGAAAAGGAAGCACGGCACAAGAATGACAGGAGGTCTCACTTTACATTAATCTGGTGGAGGCTTTGATCCCTGAATGTTTGAACACAGGTGGTCATAAGACTCCTGATCCCAACACTGTGAATGTCTCACTCAACACAGCCAGCAGTGTAAACAGCTTAAATATTACTTGTATATTTAAGTGGCTGCAGAGACATGACAGCTACATATACGAATATATCCTAGTGAAAGAAAGTGGTTCGATCACATTCCAGAGATGTAAAATTATATCTTTAAGCTCGTGTGAAGGCAGTTTTTGATACTGCAATGTGAATAGGTCTGTGCACAACATGTCATGTGGATATACAGTATGTTCTGACTGCTAATGCAAAACCAGTAAACCATGTTCAATTAAATTGCAAGTCAAGTTTTAAGTATAGACATACAATCATATGAACACTGAAAAAGCACGAGATGTGCGAACAGAAAATGAAGATATATTCAGCAGCAGTTTTCTATCTATTATTTCTTCACTCAAAGTGGATGTGATGTGGCAGTTTTGATGTGGGCAATAAATACACGATGAGAGAGATTATAAATCAAGCAATGCATGAATATGATGCTGTCATCTGAACTTCAAGGCTGCCAGACCAGCTGGAGATCGCACTGAAACATCATGCTTGAATTTGGTGCAGGCCTCTATAGAAGTAGGGCTGGGTATTATTTTAAATAATTACAATACCCTAACCCTTGAATCTCTAGCTTTTCCCGGAAATAATCCTTCCGCATTTTATGTTTTCATTTTATCAGACGCCACAGTATAGCCATACTTTTCAACGGTTGGGTGGCATCTCGGCATGCTGAACTGCCAGCTCCGTCAGATACGCTCCGCTCGACTTCACCACCACAGACTGTATGTAGCCGCTAGTTTGTAGCTGCGGTAGCGGGCCAATCACATCGCATTAAACTCAAAGCCTTTGCAACGATTGGCTTGCGAATAAAAACATACAAATAGAATAGTAAGGAGTTCATATGAGAAAAATATGCGTGCTCTGAAGTGGCTGATGACAAAGATGCAAAGCTGATAAGGTCTCTCTCTGTCTCTCTGTTAATATGCCTGGGTGGGAAACACTGGGATCAACTTTACACCTGCCTTTAAAAAACAAACAAACCACAAAAAAACCCACAAAGCATTAAAATACTGATTTAGATGTTGATTATATTGGCGGTCAAAAAGTCAAAACGATGGTACTTTACCACTCAGATCAAATGCAGATAAAATACAAACTCTAACCTGTGAGTCACCCTGAATCGGCTGGAGCTTGATCTGAAACATTAAGTTCCTATATTTCATAAGTGAGAGATGTAGTAACTACTCACAGACTGGTGCAAGTGTGACAGCACCTTCATGCACACAGCAGGGGATGCATGTTACATTTACAGTAGCAGCAACAGGTTTGTTTAGGATTAACAGAAAGTGGCACCAACAGAAACTCCACGGGAAGTATAGCTCAAACTGACTCAAATGATCTTTTGTAAACGCAAAGCAAAAACACCACAGCCATTATTGCTTAGCATCTGACATGCCTGTTGAATAATAACATAAAAGATGACCTAGCAGATAGCAGCGGTACATTTTTCCCCCGGTATAATGCTATTACAGTAACAGGAGACGGCTCTGCTCCAGACAAGGCCAGTCTCTATATCCTGACTTACATCCGCACAATGCTGCTTACTGTACTGCACAGTGACTTCATACAGAGCAGCCTTATCCCAGTACACTGTCTGTCCATACACCACTTCACTGTGTAACTGCTGTAGTTGTTCCACAGCAGAGTACAATAATTTGGATAGCAACAGGGTTATTGTCTCCCTAACATTCGCATGTTTTTTTTGAGAAACAGAATCACAGTTCAATCAGCTTATTCACTAAAGATTTGTGTAGAAAGAGTAGTGAAATCTAACGGGTAAAATACACACATGGCTACAGGGGAGGTGGTTAGACTTACTTTGTCAAATTATAGAAAGAAATACTTATTAATTTTTACTGTCATGCTAATAAAGAACACCTAACTGAGCTGAAAACTGAGTACAACAGCTGACTGACTCTCCCCACCCACTCCAGTTTTCATGGCAACCCACTCCGAGTCTTTGTGCCTCCAACTTATTCATAATTCATAACCCACTTATTTCTTTGTTTAGATCAGTTCAGCTCTGTGCACCTCATAACCTCTCTCTCTCTCTCGTCATGTGACTAAGCAAAACACCGTCTCTTTCTCTTCCCTTCCTCCCTCATCTCTCTCTCTCTCACATTCCTTTCCTCTCCTCCCACTTGTTCCTGCAGCAGCAAGTCTAAGCTGCCCGTCTGGTCGCCAGGCACCACTAGGGCGGGTGCACGCACGCCTGTGTGTGTGTGGGATACAAACAGATACAAACACACTTTCCTGTACTGTACTTGGAATTGTATTCATGTGTAGGTATAAAACAAGAATAATGTGCTTGCCTGCCCTTGTTTCTGCCTTTCTAGGCAAATATGTGTAATAATCACAATTATTCTGGTTGTGTGAGCGAACCCAAAACTGAAACTCAAGACAGAGCGTGTGGGAAATATGTGTGAGCAGACATGTCTGTCTATTTCTGTGTGCGAAAGCAGAACAAACACTACAAACCAGGACCAAGGGTGCACCTGCCACTGTTTGTGAATGTGTGTGTAAAAGTCAGTAACAGTGTCAGCAGCGTCACCCTGTCAGGGTTAGCCTAACTATCTGAGTGAGCTTGCCAATCCAGTTCATTTTAGAAGCAGCCACATGGAAAATTCCATTAGCTTCAGACTTTACAGCAGCAGCAGCAGCAGCTTGGTGGAAACGGACAGAAAACTCACTGATTTCGTGTTTTTCTTGCCAACTACTGAGACCAGATTCTTTCAGCAGAAGTACAAACCATTTTTAAAAAATCTGGTAATAAATGGATTACACAATTTCTCTTTGTATATCAAAGAGCTCTATAGGGGATGTCCAGACTACATTCTTTCTTATAATCCTTTAATATTGAGTATCTGTCCGATTTATTTTTATTAACCTATATTTTAGATTTTTTTCCTCCATAATGCTGCTGCACAATGTATACCTACGCTACAAAGTCTGCACTATAATTACTTAAGAAATGTAAATACGTTTGACAGCAAAATAGCTATACTAACAATATAATATATAATAATAATAGCTAACAATATAACCTGCACCACAGGTTTTCTATGATTCATATAATCCAATCCAATCCAATCCAACTTTATTTGTTAAGCACTTTAAAAACAACCAAAGTTGACCAAAGTGCTGTCCTATAGTATTTTGTACAAG